CGACGGGCTGGAAAGTGACGCCAACTCTTCCGACCCGGATGGCGACGATGATGCCCTAGACGACCCTTACGGGGACGTCGCGCCGGGCGGGCTTCGTAGCCCAATGAAAAGGTCGGCTCAGCGGAAGAAACCGATAGGTGATCTTGTCGGCACCCCCGGTGAGCTACTTGTCTTCCATGCTCCACCCGCCAGGTGGCGGTTTTTTTGTGCCTTCGTATTTAACATTCCCTGACATTGCGCGTTGCCGGGCCGCCATGCAGGGAATGATGGACCGCCGCACGCCCCCAAGAAGCCCAAGGCAGAGACGAAAAAAGAACGGGCCGTAAGGTAAAAGGCCGAGAGAAACGCAGCGAAGGCCACTGCAGCAGCAGTAGAGGGGTCTGCAGCGGATGCAGAGGAGGATGCAGCGGTAGCAGAGGAGGATGCGGCGGTAGCAGACAAGGATGCGGCGGTAGCAGACAGGGATGCGGCGGTAGCAGAGGAGGATGCAGCGCTAGCAGAGGAGGATACAAAGGCAGCAAAAGTGGTCGCAGCCCCAGAGGCCGGCACCCCTCCGGCGAAGGCGGACGCGAGCGCCGCTCCCATTCCCGCAGCTGCCGCACCGACGCGGAACCGCGTCGTGATGAGCGCCGCAATGAACGCCGATTGTCCACCCACGACCGCAGCAGACGCGCCTCAGGCGGTTGAGGAAGTGGCGATGGTCGTCGTGGAGTCCCCTGCTAGCGCCATGCCGCCGTCGCACGATGATTCCCCTAACGGTGAAACTGTCGCAAACAATGTGGCGGAGTCGGATCGCGAGGCCCTCGCAGGCCGCTGCTGCGGCCCCCGTCTTGAAGACTCCCGCTCGTGTGGAAGGCCGCGCGACCGTGGCCGCGACGACCAGCCCAGAGAAACCGTCAAACAAGGACAAGGACGGCGAATGGGAGCGTCGCGATGGAGACACCCGTCGAGCGAAGAGCGACGCCATTGCCCCATCACCTGAACGCCGCGAAAGAGGCCGCGTCCGCGAGACGAAACGGAAAAAGCGCGAAGACTCTCCCGAGGAATCAGACTCGCCGTCCTCTTCCAGCGACTCTGACTCGGGGAGTCCTCGGCGTCAGAGTCCAACTACGACGGTCGGAGCACTGAAAGCAGCGAGCCTGAGTCCCTCGAGAGCGAGTCTGACGGCGACCGCAAGCGCGGCAAAAAGCGCGGCAGGGACAGGCGCGTCGGACGGCACAACGGTGGGAAGGATAAGGGGAGGGGGAGTAATGGCAAGAGGAAGAAAGGGGCGAGCAGAGGGAAGCAAGGACGTGGCGACATGAGGAAGCAAGGGAGAGGAGGGAGGACGGAGGGCCTAGGGCTAGGCCCGCCAAGCATGGGTATGCTCCGTACCCGGCTGGCAGCGACGATTTCGAGAGCGGCTCTGCGTCTGAAGGTCCGGTGCTCATTCGGCGGACAGATTACCGCGACAAAGTTTCCGGCGTATGCAACCGACAAGGCGTTTCAGGCGTTGACCATGTCCTGTCACACACCCATGGCCTGTCACACACCCATGTCCTGTCACACACCCATGGCCCGTCACACACCCATGGCCTGTCACACACCCATGTCCAGTCACACATCCATGCCTGTCACACACCCATGGCCTGTCACACACCCATGTCCTGTCACACACCCATGGCCTGTCACACGTCCATGGCCTGTCACACACCCATGGCCTGTCAGCCACCCATGGCCTGTAACACACCCATGGCCTGTCACACACCCATGGCCTGTCACACACCCATGTCCTGTCACACATCCATGCCCTGTCACACACACATGGCCTGTCACACACCCATGCCCCGTCACACACCCATGGCCTGTCACAAACCCATGGCCTTTCACACACCCATGGCCTGTCACACACCCATGTCTTATCACACACCCATGTCCTGTCACACACCCATGTCCTGTCACACACGCTTTGCCTGTCACCCACATTTGCCTGTCACACACCCATGTCCTATCAGATACCCATGGCCTGTCACACACCCATGGCCTGTCACACACCCATGGTGTCACACATCCATGGCCTCTCACACACACATGGCCTGTCACACACCCATGTCCTGTCACACACCCATGGCCTGTCACACACCCATGGCCTGTTACACACCCATATCCTATCACACACCCATGTCCTGTCACACATCCATGGCCTGTCACACACCCATGTCCTGTCACACACCCATGGCCTGTCACACACCCATGGCCTGTCACACACCCATGGCCTATCACACACCCATGGCCTGTCACACACCCATGTCCTATCACACACCCATGGCCTATCACACACCCATGGCCTATCACACACCCATGGCCTATCACACACCCCATGGCCTATCACACACCCATGGCCTATCACACACCCATGGCCTGTCACACACCCATGGCCTATCACACACCCATGGCCTGTCACACACCCATGTCTTATCACACACCCATGTCCTGTCACACACCCATGTCCTGTCACACACCCATGGTCTGTCACACACCCATGGCCTGTCACACACCCATGGCCTGTTACACACCCATGGCCTGTCACACACCCATGTCCTGTCACACACCCATGGCCTGTCACACACCCATGGCCTGTTACACACCCATATCCTATCACACACCCATGTCCTGTCACACATCCATGGCCTGTCACACACCCATGGCCTGTCACACACCCATGGCCTGTCACACACCCATGGCCTGTCACACACCATGGCATATCACACACCCATGGTTTGTCACACACCCATGTCCTATCACACACCCATGGCCTATCACACACCCATGGCCTATCACACACCCATGGCCTATCACACACCCATGGCCTATCACACACCCATGGCCTATCACACACCCATGGCCTGTCACACACCCATGGCCTATCACACACCCATGTCCTGTCACACACCCATGTCCTGTCACACACCCATTGTCTGTCACACACCCTTGGCGTGTCACACACCCTTGGCCTGTCACACACCCATGTCCTATCACACACCCATGGCCTGTCACACACCCATGGCATGTCACACACCCATGTCCTGTCACACACCCATGGTCTGTCACACACCCATGGTCACACACCCATGTCCTGTCACACACCCATGGCCTGTCACACACCCATGTCCTGTCACACACCCATGGCCTGTCACACACCCATGGCCTGTCACACACCCATGGCCTGTCACACACCCATGGCCTGTCACACACCCATGGCCTGTCACACACCCATGGCCTGTCACACACCCATGGCCGGTCACACACCCATGGCCTGTCACACACCCATGTCCTGTCACACACCCATGTCTTGTCACACACCCATGTCCTGTCCCACACCCATGTCCTGGTGGGCGCACACTACTAGCCTATAAAACACCCATCATGAAACTCTTCCATTATTCAACTTCGCTTTACCCTTCCCCTCTTCCTTCGCCTCTGTCCCGTCACGCCCTTTTGCTTCCCCTGTCGCCCCCTTTCACTCTCCCACCACCCATTTTCGATCTCTCGCGCCCATTTTCCAACCCCACCAATGCATTGCCTTGTACAGAAGCCATCTCCTAGGGAGCTCGCCCACTCCGTCCCTTCTCATGGCGAAATACGGAAAGATACACACAATGGATCATATGCTACATTGACATAGTAATTTCCTCTGTAGATTCGGCCCTTCTTTGGCACGTATGAGGACCGTCACAAAACAAATCGGGCCGGAAGTCACAAAATTGACACTTGGGTGACGCGTCAGTATATCCCCTAGAAAGACAAAAAATATCTTCAAGGGCAGTCCTCGGCATACTGGGAGTTTCATCGGGGAATGAACGCGGACACTCCTCGAGGATTGATTGGCGAATCCAAGCTGTACTGCTGACGATTCGTTTGTGATTACAGTACGCTGTACTCGTTATTGCGCAGTTTAAAGCCCACATTGTGATTGTATAACAATCTTGAATAATGTAAATTACATTTTGACTAAGTCGTATTAATAAACGGAACTTCCATACAATCACAAATATGTATAAGAACCTCTGCATAAGCACGTGTTTACATAAAACAATGTTGCGCCTAAACAAATGCACCTGCTTATTACACGCAATTGGCGCATAGGAAAAAACCGCATTATTCACAGCACATTAGTATCCTTCCTTTCGCCCGTTCTAATTAAACTGAATCGTCAGGCTAGATTTCAATACAGGTCAAACTGTTAGAATACAAGAATGACTAGAAACAAGGGTGAACAAGGGAGATATAGGGTTGGAGTTGTACCCTCTAAGAATACACCCCTATCTAGCCTATAACTTCTACATACAAATATATGTATAAGTTGACACACCTCCTAGGCTAGATAAGGGGTAGTGTTTGTTGTGATATAATGCATACTTAGCATTTCTGTAAGTCGATTATCGGTAGATAGTGTCGAATCCTACTGTAGAATATAAGTCTGTGGGATGACGTCAGCAAATAGCGCTCGTCATGAGGACAGTCGTTTCAGTCACGCGAATAGTCGCGTCTCTTCATTATCATTTAGGGCGCATAGCGCGATAGTGACGAACAGGTACATTAGCGAACAGGTACATTAGCGAACAGGTACTTTCCTAGAGCTATAAAATCCTTGTTATGCCTTTCTATTGTTCACCTTGAGATTTCAACTTTGAGACTTTAAACTTGACTTCAACTGAATTATATACTCAGGTTCATTCTTACAAAGACTTCCACTGTCTTACTTGTCTACCATTCCAGTAAAGATCCTAGGCTAACACTTGAGGTTTTCCAAGTGTTTGTGTTTGCAGATTCTACACTTAGTCTCGTGCAACACCTGTCAAATTATTACATGGTATGAGAGCTATCTGGATTTAAGACTACTGTCAACAATGACTGGGACATCACCAGCACCATCTACCGGATCCAGTTCTGGAACTACTGGAGTACCTGTCTCCACGACCGCCACTGGTCTCTCAGCCTCTGGACCGTTTCCACTGGCTTATGCGCACATCAGTATGCAGCAGCAGAATCCGCCTTCTGTCAGTACTCCAGGTGTTTCATCGACTGCACGTACAGCGCAACAACAACAAACACAGGCAACAGCACAACATCAGGCAACAGCACAGCAACAAGCAACACCACAGCAGTTTTCAACACAGTCAATATCGTCAGCGTTTAGTGGAATGAGCCTTGACGGCTCAAGTTACATGCGTGGAGCTTCAGCTCCAAGTACTGGCTCATTTGCCTTCTCGCCGTTTACGCAGCAGCCGCAGTCGCAGCAGCAGCAGCCCTTTTACATCTTCGGGCGATCACCTGCTCAGCAACAACAACAGCAACAGCAACATCAGCAACAACAGCAACAACTGCAGCATCCACAGCAATTCCAGCAACAGCAACAACCTCAACAACAGGGGATTATTTTTCAACCGCCAAATCTACTTACCAGCACGCAGATCAAGACTACTATACCTTTTAACGGAGTTGAATTTTACTCCTGGAGCTTCGAGTTTGAGCTTCTGGCGCAGTTCGCTGGGCTATGGCCGTTCTTCACCGGCGAGTTTACGTATCCTGTCATGGGAACACAACTGGAGCAACAGAGTTTCCTGCACGCCTCTCTCGGGGCGTATACGGTTCTAGTTCGGAACCTGTCGCCAAAGGAGCAGCTTGGCGTTCGATCTTTTCATTCAAGCTTCACGCCAGCTGAAACTGCATGGAACCACTTAAAGGGGGTGTACATGGCAAAAGACACAATAACAGCAAGTAAGATTCTTTCGCAGCTGACAAGTGTGCAGATGATGACAAACGAGAATGTCATGGATTACGTCAATCGTGTTCGCACACTACAAGATCAACTGGAGAAGAGTGGAGGATACTTCCCTCGTGAGATGTATCTCATGGTCCTTCTTGCTGGACTTGGTCCCGAGTGGCGACAGACGCGCGCCTTCTTGCGCATGAATCCGAACCTCTCAGAAACCGAAATTTCGTCGTATCTTCAAGCGGAACAGCAAGATCTTGACCTGCAGTCACAACGCAATCAGAAGAAAGGATTACAATTAAGTTTTTACTCAAATCCAGAGCCACAGCAACGACTTCCCCCGAAATATCCCTTCTGCCATTTCTGCAAGAAACCAGGACATACTTACCAAACTTGTCGCAGTCGTTGTCAAAACCGTCGCAGCACTTCGCAACCATATCATCGTTCGCAGCAGTTACCGAAGCCACATCAGCAAATGCAGCAGTCGACGTCCCAGACGCAGCAGATGCCGCAGAGTACACCGCCATCACAGCATCGTCCTCCGGTCTTTGCATCTGCAACATCAGGAAAAGGGGTTTTTGGATGTGTTACAACAGTTGATATTTCAGATACAGATTTCGAGACACAACTTGAAGAAACCACCAGTGCAGAGGGCATTCCCTTACCGCAAGTTTACGCTAACCTTGCTCGAGTCATTTCAGGACCCAATACTTGGTATCTCGACAGCTGTTGCGGTTGGCACATGTGCTCCGCTGAAACAAGCGTCATCACCAACCAGTGTCCTCTTCATCGTCCGATAACAGTCACAGTTGCAAACGGACAAACCATTATGGCAAGATCTATTGGGAGTGTAATACTTGAATCAGTCGACACGGGATATTCCTTACACGTTACCAATGTTCCTATCGTCGCCAGCCTTGGTTTCAATCTTCTCTCCACAGCTCAACTCCTGGCACACAAGATTCGCACACAAGGGAATTGTGATACAATGGATCAGGAGTTATGGCACAGTTTATCAAATACTTACCTCGGTCGCGCTGCTACTCAACATGGAGTATCAGTTCTTCAGTTCACAGCACAGGGCACCTCTGGTGATTCTGAACGCGTCCTTGGTCTCGGTCCCTGGGGTCACCCAGAAGAAACATATTATATACACGTGGATATTGTTTTTCGGGCAACTACTGTACCAACAGCTTCTAGAACTGTAGCTGCCGTTCTTACCGCACTGGATACTTGGGAGTTTAATACCGCCGATGAAGGCGCCAATGCTTGGCGAACCTTCTATAACACCCGTGCAGCCTTCCAAGGAACTCCAGCTCCACTTTGGGGAGAAATCAGTGGACTTGCAGCTGATGAACCCGAAGTCGTCGAGGAAGCCGTGAAAGAAGAAGTCGCCGAGCAGCCGAGTCTTCCAGTAGCTGTCGCAGGACCATCTGCCATCAAACTGTAACATCAAAAGAAGCAGTATCAGAAATTGCAGTCGCAAATACAGCAGACACTTCAAATGTTCAGTTACCCCTTACCCGTTTCGTCGAAGGGGAGATTGACATGTCTCCAGCTCTTTCTCCTTTCATCATTTCTTCATTTTATACTAACGCCGACTTTTATCTGCGATCATCAGGACACAAAGCCACATAAGAAATTTGGCACCAACGGTTAGGACATCCATCGCAAGGGATTTTAAATCATTGAATCCGAGCAGCAGTTCTTGATAAAAACAGTCTTCTCTTACCTGACGGCACGGAGATGAAACCGCAGTCTCGCCCAACGGTCTGCACCACGTGTCCGGTCACCAATCTTACCCACGACCCGTTTTCGAGTCATTTTCCTGGCTCCACTCGTTACAAACTGATGCAGAAGGTCTACAGCGATATTCTTAACTTACCTGAAGCAGGACCTAAAGAAGAGCTGTACGTGATTACCTTCATCGAAGCATCTACTCGATATGTTTGGACAGCAAACCTTCCTGCTCGACATCTCGCCCATTCAGTCTTCGTCGCATGGCTCGCCGTCGCTGAAAGAGAGTCTTGAGCAAAACTGCAAGAATTCCAGAGTGATGGCGCAGGGGAGTACACGAGCAACGCTTTCACAGACTACCTCCAGACACTCGGCATCAAACGGAAGCAGTCACTGCCACATGCACACCAACAGATGGGGGTAGCAGAAAGGATGAATCGGACTCTGCAGGAGAAGATGCGTGCTCTGCTGACGCAGGCAGCCCTTCCTCCTCGCTTTTGGCCGTATGCGATGGACCACGCGGTGCTGTTACACAACCTGCTGTCTTCCACATCACTGCCCGAGTTTTCTTCACCTCACCTGCAGTGGACACGAACAGTGGGAAGTACAAAACTTTTACGAGTTTTTGGGTGTGTCGTGCAGTTTCGTCCTCCAACTGCAGCACTCGGCAAATTTTCCGAACGGGCAAAATGGGGGGTACACCTCGGCATCGAAAAATAGTATCATGCATGGAAGATTTTGGATCTTCGTTCAAACCAAATTGTCCCTTCACGTGATCATCTCTTCTATGAAAGACTCACCTTGCCAGTTTTTCGTGCCCACCAGGCAGCAGCTGCAAACCCTGCCAGGCTGTTCGAAGGCTCGCGTGCATTTGCAACTGACGAAGCCGAAGCTGATGTACAGGACGAGGCGGTTTCTGAAGCTTCCGAAGCTACCGCAACTGACATTCCCGAACCTGTCACGTCAACAGGCATCCCGTAATTTATTCCCCTCGCTGATGTTGACCCGGATGACGTTCCCGAAGTCCACCTCAGCTACGAACGCGATCGCCAACAGCAGCCGATGCCACCCGTCTCCGACGAAGCAGTTCGTGTTACACCTAACGAAATTGGGGGGGGGAGAAGGGTCAGAAGAAAATTTCGCAGGTGCAAACGAAGAACGTCCGCGTTTTACAGAAACTGGCTTACAGATACTTGGATTCGCAGTCGCAGTACAGTACAACGACAGTAAAATATCTTAACCGAAAACCGTTCGACAAGCTCTTACGAGTCCTTACCGCGAAAAATGGCGCAAAGCCATGGACAGAGAGCTAGCAGCTCTCAAGACTCGCGGCACATGGGAGTTAGTACCGACATCAGAAGTAAAAGGGAGGAAGGTACTTGCCGGGAAGTGGGTCTTCCGTGTCAAGACTAATGCAGATGGGTCGTTTGAGAAATTCAAGGCGTGATGGGTCATCCGCGGGTTCGAGCAGACTTACGGCATCGACTACGAGTTAACTTTTGCTCCCGTCGGTCGACATACGAGCGTTCGGATTTTACTCTGTGTCGCCGCCTGCCGCAATCTACGACTTCGACAAATCGACGTGGCAAACGCATTTCTCTACGCACCCGTCGACACACTCATTCTGGTAGAGTACCCACATTCGTATACTACTAACCCACCGAGCGTATGCCGTCTCCGAAATTCGCTATACGGCATTAAACAGGCACCCCGGCTATGCGCAGTACCTACAGTACATTCACAGCTACTCACTGCTGGATTCCGTCAACTACCGCATGACCAGGGGATGTATCTTTTAACTGACAGGAGCAACTATATTTTACTTGTCGCCTACGTCGACGATATTCTCTACGTCAGTACTACCGACTCGCTCGCCAATACCTTCATACTGAAACTACAGAAAAATCTACAGCTTACCGTCTCCGAGACAGTCTCACAGTTTCTCGGTTTAAATATTACCTACTCACCGACGTCTATTCACCTCACCGCTTCGAAGTACGCAGCGACGCTCGCTGCCCGCTTCAACCTCACTCCTTCTACAGTCACTACACCGTACCGATCACTACCGACAGACTACAAACCGAATACTACACCGTTGAGTCTAACCGACCTACAGACCGATCAACAGCAGTTAGGCTGTCTACTCTTCACCGCTGTTACTTGTCGTCCAGATCTAGCGTACGCGGCTAGTCAACTCGCACAGTTCCTACGCCGTCCTGAAGAAGAACACCAACTCGATCTTCTTCGCGCGCTTCAGTATTTCGTCTCGACTCCTGACGTCGGCTTAGTCTACAACGTCGTCGGCTGTAAAACTCTATACCTACACCGTTTCGTCGGCGCCGACCACGCTGCTGATACTACTAATCGGCGCTCGCGTGCTGGATTCATCTACCGCCTTGAACCTATCGGCCCTATTTCTTGGAATTCGATGAAGCAGGAGCGGATTGCTCTCTCCTCTGCTGAAGCTGAATTTATCGCTGTCTGCACAGCAAAACGCGAAGGACTTTACCTGCAGGAGCTCTTGGAAGAAGCAAAGTTGACGACAAGTACTCATATCACTTTACAGTGTGACAACCAGAGTGCAATTCGCATCGCGCATCAACCTGGCTTCGTGAACAGGACGAAACATATTTCACTACGTTATTTTTTCGTCAAGGATGAAGTCGAGAAGGGGAGAATGCGATTGGTCTATTGTTCGACCAACGAAATGGCTGCCGACTTCCTCACGAAGAAGCTGACACGACAGAAGTTTCAGTACTGTAACAAGCTTTGCGGGATCTTCAAGAAGTGACACTGTCGAACTTCCAGAAATGAAGGGGAGTGTTGTGATATAATGCATACTTAGCATTTCTGTAAGTCGATTATCGGTAGATAGTGTCGAATCCTACAGTAGAATATAAGTCCGTAGGATGACGTCAGCAAATAGCACTCGTCATGAGGACAGTCGTTTCAGTCGCGCGAATAGTTGCGTCTCTTCATTATCATTTAGGGCAAATAGTGCGATAGTGACGAACAGGTACATTAGCGAACAAGTACTTTCCTAGAGCTATAAAATCTTGTTATGCCTTTCTATTGTTAACCTTGAGATTTCAACTTTGAGACTTTAAACTTGACTTCAACTGAATTATATACTCAGGTTCATTCTTACAAAGACTTCCGCTGCCTTACTAGTCTACCATTCCAGTAAAGATCCTAGGCTAACACTTGAGGTTTTCCAAGTGTCTGTGTTTGCAGATTCTACACTTACTGTAGTCCCCTGCAACACCTGTCAAATTATTACAGTGCTGAGCAAGAAACACGCAGCTTAGGGTGGCACTACTAGTCCAAACTCTGAGACAGGGGTCCGAAAACCAGTCAGCAAGAGTATAAACAAGACAGGAGCAAAACAGGGCGGCACTACTAGTCCGGCCACTGGAAGAGAAGCCACAAGGCCAGTCTGAAAGGTATATATAAAGAGGAGTACACAATCAAGGTCCTAGCAAGTGAGAATCTACAGGAACTAGACCAAGCTACAAACAGTGCCGCTGATGATCCTTAGGCGCAAGCGCTTTAGTAAAGATATCAGCTATGTTGGCACCAGAGGCCAAGTGTACTACGCAGGCCTGGCGACGCTGTTGTAGCTCGCGCAGGAGGAAGTACCGCAGCTGGATGTGCTTCGCTCTGCCCTCAAGTCGAGGCTCTTGACAAAGGAGGATCATGGTCCTGTTGTCAGCGTTCAGAACCGGGGCAGAGCTAGGCCGCTCACCTAAGTCGGTGAGCAAGAAGGCCAGCCAGCAGAGCTCCTGTGCCGCCATGGCACCGGCGTAGATCTCAGACTCACAGCTAGACTGGGCAACAGACGAGGAGCGAGTGGACCTCCATGAGATGGCACCTGAACCAACGCTAAAGCAGTAGCCCTGAGAGGACCTGAGGGTCTCAGCGTCGTCTGCCCAAGATGCGTCTGTGTGCCCAGTAAGGACCACTGGCCTACGTCCTCCCAGCACTAACCCCGTGCCCGTTGTACTTGCTAGATAACGCAAAACTCTCTTAGCGGGCGACCAGTGCTGTGGTCGGTGTCTGCCTGTGGCCACAAAGCGAGCCATGATGCTGAGAGGGTATGCGAGATCTGGACGAGTGCAAGTCATTAGGTACATGAGGCAACCCACCAGCTCTGCGTAAGGACCAATGGGCTTTATTGACTCCTCTGGAACTGGAGCAGAGAGCCTGTGGTCTACTGGCTGAGGTGTGGGCTGTGCGGAGGAGAGTTGAAGACCGAACCTCTGAAGGACTTGGCGCACCAAGTGTGACTGTGAGAGAGTGATGGTGCACGCTGCTCTGTCCCTGGAGATCTGCAGACCAAGGTAGCGGCGCAGCTCTCCTAGGTCAGCGCAGGTGTGTCTCCTCAGCAGCTCGGCCTTCACAGAGACTAGTGCGTCTCTGTCTGCAGTAGCGAAGACCAGGTCGTCTACGTAGACAAGGATGTAGAACGGAGTCTGGCCAGCACGAACGAAGAGCGAGGGGTCTGCAGAGGACGGAAAGAACTGCACGTCAGCTAGCGTAGCACGCAGCATGTCGTGCCACTCACAGGGCGCCTGACGTAGGCCGTAGACCGGGTGCCGGAGAAGCCACTGCGTCCTAGGAGGGATGGTACCGGTGAAGCCGTGTAGACGGCGCAGGTAGACCTGCTCGTGTAGACTGCCCTGGAGAAACGCTGTGGAGAAGTCGAGGGAGTGTAACTCGTAGTCATGCTGTGCGATTACGTGCAGCAGCGCCCGAAGAGTAGTCGTCTTCGGGGTCGGGGCGAAGGTCTGAAAGAAGTCCACCCCCTCACGCTGACTGAAGCCTCTAGCCACGTAGCGTGCCTTGAATACAGGCGGCTCTCCAGGGGGGCGCTTCACTTTGAAGAGCCACCGGCCATCGACCACGTTCACCCCAGGTGGGGGAACTGCGTCGACGTTGGTGCCGGTGGATCTCCAATATGACATCTCCTGCTCCATGGCAGCTATCCACTGAGAGGCCCACGGTCCCGAGGTGGCCTCAGCGTAAGTGCGAGGGGTCGGGATGTCAAAGGCGTCAGGGTCACCCTCATGGACTAGCAGCATGGAACAGAGATGGGGAGCAGCCTCAGACAGGAAAGCAAGCTCGTACTGCCTATCCTCTAGGACGTCACTGCCAAGGGCATGCGCACCCCCAAGGGAT